AATATACATAGAATGACCCTTTCGTATCGCCTTGAGGGGGCATTGCGTAGTCCGTATCGCGATAGGGACAATAAAAAAAATATATTGCAACTTTCTTACAACGACGTTACATGGACGCCCATTCATCCGCCATCTGCACTGGCAGGTCCGAATGGGTTCAACCGAGCGACGCCTCGGCCCGGGATTGGCCGACTTTGGCGACGTCCACGTCGTGGCGGGAGCTCCATTTTGCCGGAGCGACCCCATTGTCGATTCCGGGCGGGCGTTCCCATTGTCGCGCGGCCGACTAACGTTCGAAAATCAGCTCTAATGGGATTAACGAGGACCAATGTCTGGAGGGCCGAGAGCCCCCGGGTCGCAGTCGCCTCCTTGGGCGTCGCGACGGTGCAGTCGCGCGCCCAGGGGTGCCCGGCCAATCGAAGGGCCCGAAATAAGTGCAGTCGCGCCCCGAGCCGATTGGTTCGCTTCCGGCGCGTTGATTGCCCAGGAAATTGTGCGTGCGTGCGCACGCGCCGAGGATATTGAAGCGAGAAATTGTTTTTCCTGCCCGTGACTCCAGAAGGGTCGGCTCTCCTGGAGGACTTCTCCGGCACGCTCGTTAGGCAAAATTAATGCAATTTCAAAACTAGATGGGGAGGGTCGCGAAGGTTCCTTCCTGGCACTAGGGTGAGATCGTAAAGGGTTTCCCTCTGGACTCTAAACGTTTCTTTCCTCCCCTTTAGGAAGGGAGAACATCTCGGCGCGGGACGGACCTCTCCCAGATATGGCGGGGAATCGCTCTCGAATTTGGTGGGAGCTCGCTTGGAATAAGCGACAAAAAAGCCATTAACATGGCGAGAGCGGTTCCGGGCCCGGCTCGAATGATTCATTATTTCTAATGCCGGCCACACGACGCCAATCAACCGGCCGTGGCTCGTGTAATTGCCGAGTACGGGCTGATTGGCTGGAAAAACTCGTCGAAGCCCCTTATTTGGCGGAAACGCACGCGGCGACGCCGCCAAGAACATTCTGCGCCGAGCGTCTTTTCGACCGGGATGGATCGTCCCACCCATCGTCGCGGAAAGATTCGCCGTTTATACCGGAAATCGGCGGGATTAATCGAAACCCGACCGTGGGGTCGATCTTCCACTTCGTCTCGCACTCGTCAAGTCGCACAATGGCGCATAAATTAAACGGACTCCGGGAAAATAGTGTCGGATCTCGCGGCGCGATCTACCTATGCAGAGGGGAGAATAGGGTATCGTCGCGCATGCACTCCCGAAGACCGAGTCTGCACCTATCGGAGTATCGCGAGGAGCCATTATCGGCTGGCAGCAGAAAGGAAAACGTCCGCGCCGACGCCGCCGTGGAATACCGAAGAGACCCGTCGATCGCGGGGAACATAAAACGCCGGAGATTTATGGATCGCCGAGAGCGTCCCGCTTGTTATACGAGCGCATCGCCGTCGACGGCCTCCCGTGCACCCATCGCTCCGAAATCGAGCGTCGAGACGCGGTCGCCGCGTTTGACGTCTGCATCGATCGGAAGCCGATCGTCCTCGCAGAAACGCCAAGAGTCCTGACGGACGCGAAATGCCAAGAACGGTCGATAAAATTGAAAAAAAATTCGATATGACGTTAAGATTCGGCGATGCGACCGACCGTAAAGCCAGGTGCCTTAAGGTGTTACGAAAGCGTCATAAATATGTATACCAAAAAGTCCAAATATTTATCAAACACTCCTCCAAACTGAATGCACCGAATAATTTTGTAATGATCGGGGCATTGTATGAATATGAATATTTTTACGTTTTAAATGTATGGAATGACTCTTTCGGTTCACCTTAAGGACGCCTCTTCCACCTGTGGAGGGAAACCGGGAACTGATTCGAGTCTCGTCCTGGCGGACGGAATCCTTCGAACTCCGATAGAGGCGGCGGTCCTCGCATAGCTGGCGTTCCTAGATGACCGGCAGGATAGTCCGGCAGTGCCAGGACTCCTCGAAAATATACCTCGTCCCGAGGCGAGGTTACGTACGACGGACGTGCGGAGCCTCGATAGCATCTGCTACCGTGCCCGCCGAGTTACCCTATCGTTTTCCCATCCCGGCGCTTCTTTCCATCTCCGCCTTTGTCGCCGGTCGGTATGCCTTTGTCATCCTCGGCGATCCTCCGGACGACTTCCGATCGATAGGATCTCATCCCCGACTTTCGAGCCACTCTCCTCTCGAGAATCCCGATTTTTACTCCCCGTCTCCTTCGAGATGAGCACGGAAGAACGAAGAAGAGACTCGACTCGGATATGCTGCGAAAGGGTACTCACTCAAGAAATCAAAAATTTTAACTCTCGAAATCAGCTGGAAATCGCGAGAAAAAAATCACTGGGAAATCGTTGGAAATTCCCAAAACAATTTTAAGGCGACACGAAAGGGTCCTTCCATATACATGTCAAAACGTCAAAATATAAAACTTTCCTCCAATGGCATAGGTTGTTTGTCATTTGAAATCAAAGGCAATCGGTCTTCAAGGAAGGAAATGATTTTCCTCGATTTCCGAGTGAATATCCCCTGGGGATGGCGCGACTCCGGGACGCAACGGGACCGAGCACGAAAACGCGCGGAGAAAGCAGCGCGGCGAAAACGGCAAAATGGTAAAAATCGTAAGAAATCGTAATTGCATAACCGGTTGTCCGGGAAGAGGCATGCTACCGGTGGTTTCTTGCCGATCGGACGTGCCGCGCGTTTGGTGGATCCGCAAGGCGAATCGCCACCACGACGTCGATGCGTCACGCCGATTTGTCACGCGAGACGCGACGCGTCGCGGCGTCGGTCCAGAGATCTCCTGGAGAGCCCTCGAGAGAGGATCAAAGTCGAAAGCGACTTCGATTATCGCGGGAAGAGGGATAACCGGTCGGTGCTCTAGGGGTGGCTACCACCCCGAGGAAGTCCGAGTTCGAGCCAGAGGACCCGACGGTTGCGAGTCCCGGTGAAAAAGCGAAGAAAGGACCTCGAGGAAACGTCCAAATAAGCCGTCAGAGAGCGAGTAACGAGGCATATAATAACCTTTGGTGACACTCGAACAAACAGCCATCTGTAGGTAATACCCCTGCGGTGAGGCCCGCCCTAAAACTGCACCCCGCCAAAAAATTACAATGACAATACGAAATCCGATCCGCCCTGGGGCACGGGCTCTCACCTTTCCTCCCTCTCTCTCTTTCCTTCTCGCTTTGCGCCTCGTACAATGCGCCGCAACTACATATCGGTAATTCTATAGCATTTCTAGTTTTGCGCCATTGTGAGAGCTTCCGAGCGCTCTTTGCCGACCTCCGCTGCTGAATTTGCCCGTCAGCGGGAGGAAGACAGAGAAAATCAAAGAAACGGAATTTTTACGTCAACGATTTTTCTGTTAAAGAGAAAATAAATACAAAAAATAAATGACCGACATTCCCGTTGAAACAATTCAAAAGGAATATTCTGGTAATTCAATGAATAATTATTTAACTCAAATGAACTGGAATAAATCGGACGCTACATCTATTCGGAACTATGACAATCTGAGTGAAATAATTATTCCTGGAATTAAAATATTTCTTTGGTCCAATTAATGAATTCTCAGTACACTGGCCGAGATCGAGAGAACCATTGAACGGAAAATCGGACCCGCGGTTCTTCGAGTTCCCCCCGGAATTTATACGTGGTTATTACCTCGATAACGACCACGATTTTCCGGATTCGCTCGGAACACCTCTAAAGTGTTTCACGCCCCTTTGTTAAAATTGAGCACGAAGAGGGAAACGCGGGATTGTTAGGCGGGGCCTTATTATAATGATTTGCGAGCGCTTTGAGCGTTTCTTTCGGACACGAGGGCGTTACAAAGCGTATCCTTAACACTGTATAAACATTTACGAGCCGCGTCGTTAAAATCGCGACACAGGGGACGGTCTTTGGCGTCCGCCGACAAGAGGAACAGCCTCGATACGTGTAATCGGCGGTGTCGATAATTTTGTACCCCGCGAGTCCAGCAATCCCCGACACGTCGTAAGCCTCGCTGACGCGTGTAAGAGGGAGGGAACACCGACTTTTGGCATGCATTAACATATCTCATCTCCGATGCCCAGCATCCCATCTCGACGTGCCTTGCCGCGAGCTCAGCAGGATAACGAGAGATAACACTACACATATCACGGGGATATGAATCGCCTACACGTTCGGCTGTGTTCCCGATGTTGGGTGCATCCTGCATCCCCCATGAGATCCCATGTAACGTCGCGACACCATATAATCTATATTTCTTTGGGAACCTCCGAAATAAAGCTCCCCTCTGGCGTAGGCGATCTTCCGTGAGGAGGATTTCATCGAGAAAAAAAAATATTAAAAAAATCTTAAACGAGGTAAAAAGGGCTGCTCCTGTCTGCTAATTTAAGGGGCGCGTTTTAGCGAACGGGGGGCTTCTCGAAACGGCCCCGGGGATTATTAGCCTAAATTCTAGGCGTGGCGAAACGCCATAGATAGGCATGTGGAGCACAATGACACATGGCTCGAGGTACCGAAGACCCTGACGGAGGGTGCCAAGGTGCGCTTCGAAATCAGAGCCACTCCATTGTGGGGTAATAGGTGGGTAATCCGGCACACTGTGGTAGACTTTTGACACTCGACACCGCTCGACTACCAAAGGTGTCGGGCGAGAGAGAGAGAGCGACTCGCACGTGGGCACTTTTTGAAAGCAGATTTTTCAACGCCGGACAGGAACGGATAATATCGGCCAGGAACCGCTGATTTTTGTATAATATGTAAAAGTCACGATCTTTTTAAACAATTGAACGTCGAAGCCCTGATAAAGAAAAGAATTTCTCAACACTTCTGCAGCCGCACAGAAAATAAGAATTTTCGCACCGTGGCTCGTGTTCTCAAATTGAAAAAAAAATTTGTATAACAATTTTTAAGTAATTTCGATTTAACCTTATCTTTTAAATTAGGAGTTCGTATAAATAATTATGATAAGGATGATGCGTGTGAGTACTCACTTTTCAGAAGAGGCAGGTCGTTCATGAATCCTCCGTCGTCCACGTTCGTGTTCTGGAATGTAAAAATACCTCTATTAAAGCTTCCCTAATAACTCGTAAAGAGGAGAATTCAAAGAGCTCAGTTTTTTAATTTTTTTTTCCTACGTAAAGTCTCGCCCATTACCATGACCGGCATTACTTCGTCTTCAAAGGAAACCATGGAATGTCGCGTGGAGCTTGCAAGCTGATTCCGAACTTTCCTCGAGCCAGAGTTTTTTCGACGAATCCCTTGTCGGCATTCCAACCAGACCACTGCGATGTGCTTTTTCAACTGCCCGTCATTACTGAATCGAGCGCGGACATTGTTCCTTCCTGGACGGAATCGGAGCGATGAAAATGTTCCTTCGCCATTTTTGAGAAAAGGTGCGAATCGCGCGAGACTTCTGGTGTCTCCAAGAAAGAGGAAATAACGGTGAAGACCGAAAAAAGGAGCCGATGCGTCTCCCGAGTAAATTTAGAAAGCCGTATCGCAAATTCCCGTGCAAATATTTAAATAACATTCCCGCCCACCGAGAGATGAGTACCTTTCGGCCGGAAATGAATATTCAGAAGAACTGCCGTTTCGGAAGCGCTTAGCGGTTCCTTCTCCCTAGGAGAGACCGGTCGTTTCGAAAATAGAAATCAGTCGTCAAATTTCGAGGACGACTTTGACTCGACGAGTCAATTGTCTTCGAGCGCCGCCAAAGAGACCGGTAATTATCACTCGAAGATAGCTCCTCGATTTCGAAAATGGGCCCGCCTAATGTCTCGACTAATTTAGATCGGATACCTGATAACGACCGCTACATTCGACTACCAGCGATATCGCCTTGTCGCTATCTCTTGACTTTAGTCGTTACACCATTTCCTGATACTACGTACGTAGTAAAATGAAAATAAGCGAGAAAACCGTAGGTCATAAAATTTCGACAAAAGTTTACATTTTCATTACTCATCCTGCAATTTCATTGCACGTACTTGATCGGAGGATTTAGTATTATCAATGCATATTTCTTTGAGACGGCCAACTTTTTTTCTTTTTTTTTTCTTCTTATCAGGGTAGGTAGTGATAACCGTCGCGATATCCTGCCGCTCGACCTTCCCCGATGAAACGACAAAGGAACGGTTGACAGCGAATTAGCCTCGGCTAATTGTCCGTCTCTGGCCAGAAATCCGGGGATATCGCAAGAAAATCTCGCCTCGATGAAATCGACTTTTAATCTATTAGGTGGTTGTCCGAGGTGGAACTTTAATGGGGCGGCCGACTAATTATCCTTCGAGCGAGTCTTAGCGGTCCATTCAGGCCTCAAAGGGTAGAGCTGGCGGTCTAGAATGTCTATCATTTGTCCCTAGACAATGACCAGTCTAGTAACCGGTCGACTCGAGGCCCGAGCCAATTTCGCAGATCCGCCGGGCGATACGTGGCACCTCCGCGAAATAAATTAACGCTGACTAAACACACCGGGGAAAAATAAACGACCCTCGGAATTGCTTTCTTAAGTCATTCACTCGAGGTTTATCTGGAATCCAATATCGGGCCCGCGTATGAATCAGCCTTAAACCTTTAACAAGGTGAGTACGAATTTCTCCCGGCGGGTTGAGTAATAACGTCATTGGTTTTAATTATTAAGTCAAGTTTCGCGATGGCTGGCCCCCGATAAATCGAACACATCGACGGGAGCCGATCATATCGTGGCCGGAGACAGTCCAACGGCACTTTCCCGATGACAGGGGAAGAAGAGCCAATATCGGCCGAGGAACGAGATCGAGATCCGTCGTAACCCTTTGCTCCCCCTCGCCACTCCAACGGTCCGATTTCGCGCGATCTTTCCATCGTGCGTTGAGAAAGAAAAAGAAATTCACTGAACCAAACAAAACACTTTCTCAATCCAAAGAATAATTACTCGACTCGAGTTAACTCAAATAAATCGTCACAATTCCGAAGGAACGTTGCCATCCAATTTCTTCCGAGTTTGTTCGAGTCAAATAATTATTTCTCATTGGGTTTCTCTGGTTCGATGAAATACATTTCTTTTTTTTCCTCAGGGTGACCGGTGTCAATTAACGTTTACAATAATTCCAGGGAATCGGGAACACCTTTCGCCAGCCACCCCGGACGGTGGGGAGAGATTTCGAATATCGACCCCGAGAAGTGGTAAGTAGAAAAGAGTACTTTGCGATTACGTACATCGTCGCTCACCTGAGGGTCGTCAACGAGACTCGTGTGCAGGCCGAGGTCGGTTTGGTCGAGCCCAGGGGTAGGTAGGAGGGCGTCGGGGCGCCTCAAGGCGCCATATTCGACGCCTCTTCCGCCTCCTCCCCCGCCCCCTCCGCCGCCGCCGCTGTTGCGTCCGCCGTCGTACGGAAACGAGGCGTGCATGTTTGTCTGGAAAATAAGGGCGATGGTTACTCATTATGCCCTCGACGTCTAAATCGACTCTCTGTCTAACGGGACGCAATTAGCGCGCCTTTTTTTTTTTTTCTTACCGTCCGAAACGCTCGTTAGGACCATTAGAGGTTCCTTAATGGCCGATCGCCGGAACGACGTCGACGTCACGACCTCGAACCGGGGATTTCACGGCGGTAATTAATTCCGACTCGGAGCCGTCCGAACCCCTTATCAAAATCTCGAGACTTCCTCGCGTCCATATTTGGGCAAATCTGCATGCGCGTCGTCGTGCGCGCGAAAGTTTATCAAAGGACCCGGGACGGTCGAGAGAGAGGTGGAGGCGCGTAAAGAAGTTCCGGCGGCGAGTTCGGGTCGGTAGGAGTTAAAGAAAAAAAAAGGCGAATAAAAAAAAATGGCAGGTCTCGTAGCTCGTAAACCGCGGAAAAAATGGCGGGTTTTTCGGGGGCTTGCGCAACGTCGTCACCCGCGCGACCTCTTAAAATCGGCTTAATTTATTTCCCCCGCGTAGGCTGTAATTTCGTTTGCACTTGCTGCTTTATCTCCAACGGTAGCCCGGACAGGGTCGCTCGAACGGTGACACGGCTACGTGTGCAGGAGTGCCGCGGATCTTGGGGGGAAAAAAAAAAGAAAAAAAAAACCGAGAAGATCCGTATCGTCCCGGACGGACCCCGAGGTGAAACGAAACCGCGGGCGTCCAAGATCTCGCGCGTCCGATACCTCCGCGCGACCCCAAATTTCGCCGACAACGGAGGAAAGAAAAACGAGAAAAGTACAAAAAAAAGAGTGAGAGAAAGAGCGACGCCACGGTATTTTGAAAATCGCCACGGTTTAAAGGGACGAGAAAAAGTCGGCGGCGTCCGCGCAAACGACGTTCCCCTCGCCGACGAGAAAATCGCTCGGGACAATTGAAAGGTCCTACCAGGAATCCCGGCACCTCGCGAGGGGCGTCCTGGAATCGGTTTCCTGCAGGACGCCCCGTGATTAGACGTTGATTCGCGCCGCTCGCTGTGTCGGTATCTCAAATTACGCCTAACTAACTCGGCCGGATTTCAGAAATGCCGTTCCCCTCCCCCCGTCGAAATAAACGACTCTCCGCCGCCGATCTAGGAAGACGCGCTACCGTAATGGCCGTCTTGGAATCCTCCCGAAGGGTCTTCAGTGACCCGTTAGCGGTCGATCCTGACCGGCCGACCTCGAGGAGTCGTGCGTCGAGGTTTCGAAATTATTCCCGAGGAGCCCGCCCACCTATTATACGCATTTATGCATTATTTCGGAAAAAGTGGAAACGCGTCGCGGCCACGCTGGGAAATCCTTCGCTACGTCCCGGAACCTCGCGGGATGGAGTACCCTCAGTGGTCGGTTAGCGGTACCACGGAGAAGGGGTCATCCGGGATATGACACGGAGTTACCGTGCGGAGACTCCTACGTGTACGTAGGCACACGTAATGCCTGGCCTAAGTACGCATTCGCCGAGAGCGAGCGCTGCGCGAGTTAAGTAGGTTCTCATCCTCCTTCGCCTCCATCCCATTGGCCGGGCACGTGTTGATTTAGTATTATGAAGTCTATGTGCAGCCAGTACGCGGTTGTCGGCCATAGGTCGCCTTTAATCACTGAAACGCAACGACCCGTGATGTCGGACCGCGAGCTCGACCGCAGACCCGAAGACGTAAACTGCGACGCGAGCCTCTCTCGACCGCTGCACTTACGAGGGCATAAAGATGCATCCGAATCGAGGACACCGTGGATGCATCCCCGACCCCCAAAGTCCTAGCCCGAGTCCGAAATCATCGCGGACTCCGTCATCGACGTCGAGCCGCGCGTCCCCCCAAATATCGGCGCAATATCGGAGCGATATCGAGCAGACGGACGATATTGGAAAAAAGAAATCCCTCCCCGGCCGACTTCATCCCTAGCCAGGGATTTACAAGCGTAGGAAAATATCCCCCGGATTTTAATTCCGCAGTGGTGCCCCAAGTCGGGAATTAATTCGCGCTGCGGGGCCGCATGCGGTGCACGTAGGAATTCTAAAAAAGTCCATTACCGCCCGGTATGGCCTGGATGACTTATGCGACGTTCGTGCGGTACATATCTTTTTTTATCAATCGCCGGATGACTCAGGTGCTCGGGGAGGAAAAAAAAGGATCTCTGAATATATTCCGCGTGGTCCAAGGATCGCGACCGTGAGTCAGACCCGGCGGTTCCCTTGATGTCCGATGACATTTTCCTTTTTTATGGTGCACGCCATCGCTTAGAAAGCGTTTATGACCCTCCGAAAGGACGTCGATGTGGGTAACGGGGCGTCGCCGCGTTTGCATTCCTCCGGGACCCAGGTTTCCATCCCCGGGGACAGCCGGCTACCGGGAGGGCTTTTTACCGCGAATAGGAAACTCCGAGGAATCCCGAGCAGTCCGAGACATCTAGAGAGCCCGGTGGAAGGAAACGTATCGCGTCTATTAGGCCGGAGAAGTCGCGGCGCGGCGTCGTTCTTGCGGCCATCTCGACGCGGGGAGCGGAACGTTACGGGAACGAGTTCGATCGGCTCGTAACCGATTTATAACCGGCGCAATAATGACAACGAATAACCGAGCGATGCCGTGAAAGCACCGCCGCTCGGCTAGAAACTCGGACGGATTAGCAGTTTCCCCGGCGATCGGCCAACTAAGACCGATCGGGACCGGGTGTAGGAATATCGCCGAGGTGGAAAGAGGATAAGACAAGTTTTTGCCCAATTCGAGCCGGAACGGTTCCTCGATCGAGCGCTGCTGCGCGTGCGTGGAAAAACTCGGACAAGTCGGCCGACAGACGGAAAAATCGAGCATTCTTTGCGGACGCGAAACCACATCGGTACGCTTAGAATGGCCGAGTGGGGTATGAAGGATTAAACGAAACCGTGATTAACGATAAGCCCAGGCTAGGCGTCGTCGCGAGAGGCCCAGAATTTGAGCTCTTGCCCAATTCGAGGAACGGTTCCTCGATCGGGCACGAGGGTCACGCCTGCGGTTTCGTTTCACCTCGGGGTCCGCGGCGATACCGATCTTCTCTTTTTCCTTTTCCAGGAGATCCGGCGGACGCGTGCGGAGTACACGTAACCGTGTCGTCGTTCGAGCTCGCCCGGAGACAACGGCAAGTGCAAACGAAGTTACTGCCTACGCGGGGGAAATAAATTAACTCGATTTTAAGAGGTCGAGCGGTGCCCGGGGGACCGAGCCGCGCGCCGCCATCTTGTCTGCACGCGGCGGCCCTCGACCCTCGCGAGAGGACGTCGAAAAGTCCCTCTAATCTTGGGAATCCACTAATCGGAATAAGTAGGAATTACGGGGAGACCCTTCCCCCGAGTAAATTTTCCAGAATACGAGCCCGCTGGCCGAGATACGCCGTGAAATGAAAAAATACCCTCGACGGCTTACTTGCAGCGACTTCGACGTAACCGTGAGTCACCTCCGCGTCCCCTTAAGGGGAAGGCAACGGAACGAGTGCTCGTACGAAATTTTTCCCCGGTATTACCCGACGTCTCTAGGAGGCGATGACTCCGCGCTGAGTCCGGGACCCGAGTGCCGTGTGAAAATCCACCGAGGAATGTGCCCGCTCGCCACTAAATCCCGCGGCGAACTCAATCCCGGAGCCGATGACCAAACGATGACCCGCGATACTCGGCGTTGTCGGCAATCCCGCGTATAACGCGAGAGCGATGTTCCGTGCCGACGTCTGGATCCCTCCCGCACGCGGAAGAACAATGCCAATGGTAATATTTCTCGGTAGGGTTGCGGATCGATCGAGTTACGAGGTAATGGCTCGGGGTGACTCGGGATTTTCGACGGTGAGCGCGCCTTCGTTTCGGCCGTTTACACGGCAGCGGGTTTAACGGAGATCGCCCGTTAACGGCGACCGTGTCGACGCGTCAAGGCGGAAACCGCGGGAGCGAAAATGATACGCGCTTTGCCGTAGGTGCGCCCACTGGGTGCATTCAACGATCTCGCGTAGATCGTTCCTATCTCCAGGATAAGATCCAGGACAATACGGAAGCGCATACCGAATTTCATACAAACGATATATCGTCTTGGAAAGCAACGACCCCGTGACGCCGCGCCCCTACCGCGGATAAACGCTACACCGTTAAAAAAAATATTTTTCTTAAAAATATTATTCAGACACGGTATATTAATTTAACAAGTGTTTTAAATTTATGACACATGTGTCCTCACTTTTCTACAAAATTTCCCAAACCTCCAGGATGACGTTACAAAATAACAAATATATTTTCAAGTTTACCATAAATGTATAATAATTCACATTTCAGACGTGAGATTTATAATTTTACGGAAAGTGCACGAGTTTTAGAAATATTTCTAACGGGGTATTTCGGGAAATCTGAAAAATCTCGGAGATCTCCCATACGATCCTCGAGCAAAAATAAGATAAAGGAAGGACGCTTTAGCGGGTTGTCGGTTTAAAGGAGAAAAAAGAAGAAGGAAAAAGCGCCCGAGATCGCGGACGCTCCGGGCGTCGCGGCGCGTTTTCTAGGTTAGGTCCGCCGGCCAAATCCGCGACCCCGGTTCAACCGAGCGCGGAATAAACCGGGCAATCTGGCCAAGAAATCGGAGAAACTCGACCCTAAGTCTTCCCGGAGCTGATGTCTCTCGACTTCTGGCGTTGCGACACAAAGTGTAATAAGCGATAAAAGTTAGTGCCGAAGAGGGAGTTCCCGGTAAACCGACCGCAGGCCTAGCCCAAATCCTTGAGACTTTCCTCGTTAGATTCCATTAAGATTCCGCGTATGTGCGTAGCCCCCTTTTACGAAGGAGCCCTTGAGCCATCACGGAGGTAAACGCATAAAACCGCCGAATTAAACATTCGCCTTCTGTAACGGCGATACAATTTTTACGTCCTAGTATTAAAAAAAAAAAATGTAACGATTCGCGGAAACCGGACCCTTCGAGCCGCGAAAACATGATGATCATTTCGACACGAGTTAATTGCGACATTACCAACGTAACCGCGCACGAAAATATATTTAAAAAAACCACACAGCGAAAAAACAATAATTAATTTAAATAAATATATATGTATTGTCGCCTGACTCATATACGATTGCGAGAAATAATTATTTATTTTGGGATGACTTATGTCAGGTCTTGTTATGGATTGCCGCGATGCACATTTCTTTGAGTCAACCAACTTTTTTAATACCCACGTAAGAATGTTTGATATCAATAATTCAATATCTAAAGCTTTTACCAAAACGGTGCTATCACCCGGGAATGCAGGGAAGAATTTACTGACGTAAGCTTAGAAAAGAAAAAGAAATCGACTTAACAGGCCTAACGAGATAATGCAAAGGGAATAGCGTCTCTGAATATAAATTTTTCTTATTCTCCCATTTGTTCGACCGAAAGCGCAGCGAGCGCTCGGTGCATGCGAGCGCGTGGGCACCGCTCGCCGAGTGCAATTATGCACTTACAAATGGACATGCCTTATATACTCAACGCGTAGCCGGTCGACATATAAAACGAGATATAGGTACAAGAAGGGTCGTTGAAACTTCAAGGACCAACACCCAATTAAATCAGCGATGCATTACGTTCGTGTGCTCGACCCGCGTTTAACCCGGCTCTCGTTATCCGACGAATGCCTCCCAATTCGCTCGCTAAATCGCAAATATATGCAAGTATAAAGACATTCCCGGCTTATTCAATCTTTTTCCTTCACTTTATTCGAGCGCGGGGAGTGGATATACGTCGACGCGATAGTAGGTTACCCGGAGAAAAAAAAAAGACATACCTGACTTTTACAGAAATGTTTCCGCTTACCGTACACGTAAGAAAGTAACATTTAAATTGACCGGATTAACCCGTTAACGGGACAGTTTTTAACCGTATCGCGAAGAAGGATTTCAAAAGGATAGGCTTCTGTAACTTTAAGACTCTTATTTTTCTCCGTGTACGGCGACGCGATAGGAGGTTAGCTGGGGCGTTCTCGGTCCCCTCGCGAAAATGCCGTCAGAAATGCGAGGCCCTTGGAGAACGCGAGGGGGCGGTGAATTTCTACGGGATCCTCTCGCGATATATCGCCGAGGGAGATATATGCACCGAAAAGTGGGGTGCCTGTCCGTTTTGAAGGATAAAGCTATTGGGGTTGGTCGGGCCACTCGGCTGATTATTGGCATTGTGGTCCCGTCTCGAACGAGCCCATATTCTCGGCCCTATCCGCGTTTATATCGACCGGGTTTGCAAGGAGCCACTTTATCGATCGCCTCCCTTCGGCTCTCGCCCGATTTTTCGATGAAAACTCCCCCTCGACTTCCATTGCGCGAGAAACCAGGGGGTGGATACATGCGCACTCGATGCACCTTGGTCCGGCGAAATTGCCAACTAAAATCCGACTCGACTAGATTTTATTAAAATTAGTTCGTTTATAAAAATTATTCGCGTTGATTGCCCAAGTTTTCTCCGGAAAAAAAAAAAAAAAAACGTGAACCATGATCGGCGGTTAAACTCGCCCTTTCGGCCGAGCAGTCTCCTCTGCCTTAGACGTCGCGATTCTTGGCATATTTGGCTCAAAGCAAACGTGCCAGGCATTCGCCCCGAGGGGATGTCGAAGGTCTGGCCAGAACTTAATAAGTAAATTACTGGCGAAGCCCAGCACGCAAAGTCCAGGCCGAAAATCCCCCTCGTACCTGCCGGGAGGGAAAGCTCTCGGTCCACGTCACAAAGAAAGCCCACCCCCTAATTTTCCCGAAATTTCCGCGAGGTCGGATAAACTCTCCCCGAAAGAAATCGAAGAAACCATCCCCAGGTTGTCGGAGGGTACACTCCCATGGAATCGGATTACATCGGGCATGTAAAATTGACAACGATATATCGTTATTCATGCTAGATAAAATACAGTAGACGTTGAACGGTTCGTCTTACTACTTTCGAAAAGTAAGAAAAATCTAGTAACCGTTCCTACACTTCCTAGTTCAGAAAAAAAAAAGTACATTTTACTATAAAGTCCTTTTTGAACCATGAAAACTAGGTGATTTAACTAGATTTTTCTCTCGGGGCGTAGCTCTTCCCTCTAACCCTCGCCCTAAAGTCTAGACCTCAAGGCCCCCCTCGCGAAATCTCGAGCAAGGTTCGCGTAATAACGGGCTCGTTGTTACATCGTTGGCACGTAGCGCGGTAAGAGAGGATGCATAACCGTTATCCAAAGTTCGGGGAACTGTTAACAACTATGCAAGAGCCAGCAGGCACCTCGGAACTTGGGGGGCCAAGACTGGGAGTCTTTCGAGGGCGACTCGGTGCGAGGTAGTCGGAACGTACCGTAAGTAAATACGAAATATGATACGCGAAATATGAAATATGTACGCCAAAGTCGATCGGACCGATCAAGGAGCACTCGTGCGACCGGCTCGTGCCAAATAGAACGTCGTCCCATTTCCACGCGAGAAAGTTCGACTCCATATCGGACGGTGGGTGGAGTAGCTGCAAAGAAATGACAAAAAGGCCCGAGTCGCGCCTTATAAGGTCGATCCGGCCGACAATTGACGGAATTCGCCGTTTACGCAACGGCCGTGATTTACATGGTCGAGTGACTGGTGGATTCGGCTTCTCTCGGCCGGGTTCCCGGAGATCGTTAGAGACAAACGTCCCGGCGTATCGGGACAAGAAGTCGAGGAGCGCCCGGGAGAGCACGTGTGTCGAGATCTCTCGCGAGCCGTGCCGTATGATTGATCGTGCGAATGCGCGGCCTAGAGATCGATCGTAGATCTCTCCTGGATCGAAAGCGGTCCGTGGTTATTGCTTTTCGAGACCGAGCAACGGAGAGAAGGAGTATGCCTTACATACGGGACCTCTGAACTCGAGGCCGATGTTAATGGACCGTTTCATGGTAGCGAGTCTCCTAGGGGAGAGCCGAGGCGATTCCTATCGTGAAAAATGTCCCGGGACGCGGCCGCCGTGCATTGTTACGCCAACCGCGGACCTCGCCACCCATATAAGCGTTAACGCAACAAGGAGGCATACCTCGTCCCCTGGACGATTCCCCGGATCATGAATCTTTCCACCTCGGGTGTCCTATCGTGAATTTTTCACCCTAAATACGAAAGCTCCAAAAAATCAGGCCGAGTGGGATTTAATTTGTCATCTCTCAATCGGCGCACACGCAGAAAAAAAAAAAGGATAGAACATTTGCTAGCCGATTTTTAAGAATATACATTTGTTGTAGAAAGTACAATTTCTTGTTACGACCGTGAATTCATTTTCTGCGCGAACTTCCCAATTACTCCTGTATCCTCGATCCAACCCTCCTATACTTCGCGACCCACCGAGGTATATCGATAATTATCGGCGAACAATGGGATCGATACATATGACGGATCGTACGCGAGGAATAATGGGGCCCCAAAGTAGCGCCGATTGGTGTCGATACAGTCGCGGAGAAACTTATTGGCTTCGATCGGCCTTTACGTATCGACGGCACCGGACGCCGCCTCCACGAAATTGCGCGGTACCCTACACGTAATGACGCCAGAACCCTGCATGACTTCACATCGCTTTTTTGCTCGAAACCCATTGTCCGGGTAAATTAAATGAAATCGGAGCGGTTCGATTGATTTCCCAGCCAGAGGTCGACGAGGACCTAATGGACCCTGGCTCTGGATTCGGGGATTGGTTGTTACATAAAATCGACTCCTAGTGTGGCTCGGTATTTGAAATTGAAAAAATATCTCGAATCGAGCCGCCGAGTCCGGGTATTTAACATTTAAAAAGAAGACTTCGTCGCTCGTCACGGAGCGAAACGTTAGAAGGGCGAAACGTATGAGGGGTACTCACCACGTGGAGGCTCTCGGGGTCTCTCCTGAGGTCGCCGCTCCTCTGTCCGGCGGTGACGGCGGCGCTCAGCTGGTTGTAGTGGTGCTGGTGCAGGGTGTTGAGGGTCTGGGCGTAGGGGTCGCCGACGAGGTAGTCGAGGTGCTGAGGTTGCCCCAGGCCAGGGTGCTGCGGACTCGCCGGGGCATGGTGGTGCGAGGGGAACGGGGGCGGAAAGTACGGGGGCTGGAAGTCAGGGGGCGTCGGGAGGGACGCACCCCCGTGATGGGGCATGCTGCCCCCGTTGCCGTTACCCCGGTGCCCGTGGTGATGGGCCCCCGAGTACGGCGACGAGTTTCCGCCCCCCAGCGAGGAGATGCCCCCATGACCCGTCAAACGGTCCTGCAACGAAAATGACCTCTTATCAACCCCCGATACATCGAACATCGTCCTTACGTCGTGGAGGCATATCATAACGATTGCGACGGAAATTCCAGCCGTCCACAATTGTCGCCGCGATTGCGATAACACCCCTAATCGCCGGGAGTAAGTAGCTTCCCCGAAGAGATTGGTCGATTCGGCGCTAACGATCGTTACGCGATACGCCGAGCCCTGACGAAATGCCGGGAGATACCGGGAATTAGGCCGAATGGATGTTAATGGCGGCCTAATGGCTCCGACAGGCCCGAAACGTGCCGGGAACGGTCGGCGGCATTTTTGAGGGAACCGAGTCCACGCCGTTCCCCCTCCCGGACCGAATGCCTGTTCCGGTATGGAACAAGGGTATTGCACCGAATCGTCCGAAACTTTGAGCGCCTAAGAATAATCCGGACACTTTTAAAATCCGTACAATTAGTATAATCTTTTTTATCAAATTTCTTATTCGATCCAATTTCTCGAGACCTTTCACTCCACCTTAATCGTACCGGGCAAAGAGGAAGCGAAAAGTCGATTTTCGTTTCCTGGGTTCTCGCGACTTTTCCGTCGTTTCCGCAAACCCTCGGGGGAAGGCCCGTCTCTGGAAGGTGGCGGGTGATAAAAGCGCAGGTACAAGAGGCATGGACGAGCTCGTCGGGAAGGAAGTACAAAAGTTCTCGCGTCCATCAAAGTCAGAGGTCATGAAAGATGCGGCATACTTCACGGCCGCTTCGGAGATCGGTTAACGGTAAATGGACGTTCGATCGAAGGCCTGTGTTTCGAAAGCTCGCCTAACCAACGGATGTGGGAGAATCCGATGGATGGCGTCATAACGTGGCTTTTTTGCCTCGAGAGTTTCGAGAAAAAAGAAATAAGTAAGCAAGAGAGGGAGAGAGAGAAAGACGGCCGCCGCGTCGGAGCGTCCGAAGGGACCCACAAGTGTTCATTAACTCCGCGGCACGGTAATTATTTATGACAAAGATTCAGCGTACCCCTAATTTTCTTACGCACACCACGAGGGAGGGCTCACCTTGGACGCGCACTTCATCAATCTAACGTTTATGCAGATTACTGTTATTTTTCTAGGGGATCCTCGGACCTCGGACCGTACCGGAGAAACGCTGAAATTCAATTTCGCGGCTCGGGAAACGAAAGTCATTTCTCATGCCGCGAAATTAATAGACAATTAAACGAGATCCTTCGGGCTCTCGTGGATCGAAATCCGGCGGTCGAATCGATCCTCGAGATGAGAAGGCCGTCGGAGATTTCTGCGCGCCTACTTCGGGACAAAATGGAGGGCAGCTCGAAGAAACGCGATCGTGTGGGATAAATCGAGGGCCCCTCTCGATACACGGTACGCACGGTGCGGTAAGAACGCTTCTACGCGGTATATATCGAGGGGACCCGTTCGATCGGCCGATAGATCGAAGACATATTGGAAAACTTGGTTCGCTCCTCGAGATCCAGTTTCGTTCCGAATCCACTTAGCGCATGACCATTCGTGGGAAAAAGAGAGGCTGGGTTTCCGCGGATCGGCTCCAATTTCACGCCTCCTTTTTCCTCCTATTCGATACCGAGAAGATCTGCCCGGCATTTAGAATGCTATATAATTGACAACGAGCGACTCCTCGCGCCCTCGATTTTTCCCCATTTTTTTTTTTTTTAATTAATAACTAGCGTACCATGGCAAGGGTTACTTCACCATTTAGTCAAGGTAACTAGAATACAAGAAACGAGTGGTATTACCGTGCTCATCGTAACCTCTTTATATACTTCCTTTACTAAGTTACTCCGGTTGCCTCCTGGGAGGATTATCCCATTCTTTATTTTTTTATTCCGTGCCGGAAAACCAAAAATGTGGAGGAAACGGACGAAAAGTCAGTTGACACGGAACCGGATCAGGAGTCCCTCTGCTCGCGGAGGCTATTCAAGTTTCTGGATTCTGTGGTAATTGCCGATAAGCCCTCGCGGCGCGATTTATCGGGCGGTGATCGGACGGCGCATTAATTCTTTACGAGTCGGCACTCGCGGGTGCATTTTATTATCCCCGCGACCAAGAAACCGTACACCGAAGTGCCGGTTAATCGGGCCCCGTGTTCCTGGAAAAAGCGATATCTCCCGTCCCGCACAATCGTGATATCCCGGTCGATGCACCGATAACGGCCAAGAGGTGCATCGGCCCGCAAAAAGTGAAGCGCCTCTAGGAGGCGCTTTTAAGCGCCACTGGTACTAAAGCTAATTTATGCAGGGAATTGCGCCGAGGTCACCGCTAATGGCGCCTTTTCTTGGGGCAAGAAATCTCCCTGGTTGGGACGTACGTCCCTTTGGAGAGGCCTCAAAGCCGACCGAAGAAGCTCATCCTCGTTGCCCCGTGAACTCGAATTACCCTAATGACCGACCACCTAATACGCTCGCGTGACCATTTCTTAGACGTCGAGAAAAGTACCTCGGCCGACACCGAGTGAGTACTTCTGACAGAAGTACTAACATAGAATCTGAGAACCTCATTAAATCCAGCGACTCGAACACGAAAAAAAAAAAGATTGGTAGGAGGAAAACTACACTTAAAAAAGGAAATTCATTGAATCAAAGAAATTTTACTTAAGTTACTCCGGTGCGATAACCTCCTGGGAAGGTTATCCCAATTATATTCCTGACCATTCTTTTTTTCCGTGAAAAAAAAAAAAATGGTAACAAAATGACTTTCAGATAAGAATGACCGGAAAATGTTATCTCGTTACTCCGGTACCATTATCCTAGAACCTGGTTAAATAATTCCCCTCGAAAATCCGGAGTTGCATCGAGGAGTTAAAGGACCGTTACGTCGCCATAAAAGGGGCACCCGTTTCCGGAGAACGCCTCGCCGGGGCAATTAGCATAATTTATTTACCATTAATTCCCTGATAAACCAATTAAATCGTGGGACCCGCCGAATCTCGCGTGACACCCGGGTGTTCGATTTTCGGCGAGAGGAAACGCCGACGAAAAATCCCAGCCGAATCTCAGGAAAGATCCAACGAGGCGTTGATTACATCCGGCTTAACCGGTTCGCGAATCGCCGAATAATTAATGTACCTTAAGCCGATCTCTTAGCAGGTACAACGAGGAAACGACCGCGCCCGTTTCCGAGACGAGTCTCCGGGTGTATTTTTTGATTCTTTTTCGGTCCCACAGGTGAACAGGTGTTTCACCGGCGCGTCGGGACGCCCAGGCTTGCAACATTACGTTTTCCTCCCGAGAGCGGAATGTCCACCTCGCGATCCGGTCGCGCAGCGTTTTATGAATTTCTCCAAACTCGCTAAACGCGGCGTTTAATGACCGGCAAGAGTTCCCAGCAACATTTACTCTCCGCGCTACGCATTCGGTTAAGTGCGCCATTACGAGGTTTACACCACAGTTTAACCGTAATTACCGCAGCAGCTGAGAGCGCGAACGCGCCCGAGATTGAATGTTTAAGCTCGGGCAGTAAATTTTCCTAAATCCTCGAAACCATCTCAAACAATCTCTCCAGGTCGACAATGCGTTCAACGACGAGGACGTCGCCGGTAATCGCGGTCCCTCAATTAAACATACGCAATGGGGTACTCGTTAAATCGGCAGTAAACATTGATGGTTCCCTATGGCGATTATCTCCCTGAATATTCATGAACGTCCTGCGGTACTCGGTTTTTCTCAAAATAAACCGAGTAAAAGTAGACCGGCAAATTCGACTCGGTGAAAAATCGGGGCGAACGGCGAGCAAGGGAAAGGTCCAATCGGCATGGCGGAATCTCTACTATTTAAGCTGATGAATGAAAAGTTCCTTCTATTAATATATCACCCAGCTTCTAGAAGAGTTTAATTAATATTTTTACATTTTCATATATATACAAGACAGTTTCTTAACACCTTAACTATTGGAGGACGCTCGGATGTATCGCGAATAGGAACGTCTTTCTTCCCTGGGCACACGGTATATGGGACGGTAGCAAGAAGGGTTGGCTTCTCCTTTTATGGGATACCATCTGAAACGTCTTCATGCGGCTCTGCGCGCTCCCGCAAGAGCTATCCCGGGCTTTTATCAACGACATTCTTCGCGCCGCAAGGTGGACACGCGATCTCGCCTCTTCCATGAACCCCTCCGGCCTCATATTTTCGCGGAAACTGAACATCCATCACAAGTGAAATTTTCGCCAGATTTCGCGGCCTTCCCAAGAAGCGCTTAATTTAATAAAAAAAAAACCTATCAATGGAATTCTTAGGATCCCTCCGTTCACGATAGCGCATAATCCAATGAGGTGTTCCCTCATGAAATCATGGATTTTAATACTGGAAATTTCATGCAGGTGAATTTTAAGGCCGTTGTCACATGATACCGAATGGTATTGTCGTTTCATATGAAATTAAAGGCGATCGGTTCTCAGCGAAGAAAATCCTTTTCACTGATTTCCTATATAGCTTCATGGCATAATCGAGGACCCAGTAGACGAGGAGACGAAGGAGGGTATTAATCGGCGCTATTTTCGTGCCGAAATGCGTCGTTACGTCACGGTCGCAAGCAGGGAATTTTCCACTATGAAAGTTTGGAAAGACAGTGACCGGGTCGTTGCGTAAGAGACTCGTCCTTGGCAAACATTGTCGGGCCGAGTGGATCCTTGCGAAAGATATTCGCGTTCCAGGCATCGCCGGGTCGAAAGTTGTTCCATCGGAACTGTTCCCGAGTTTGCCGGAACGTCCGATCCTGGAAGAGAGGAGCTTTCGAGTGGAGACGGATGGAACTCCGTCGGAGACGGTCACGGAGATTTGGAAGCGACAGAGAAGACGAACGCGAGAGGCTCGTTCCCGGCAGCCTTGGGACGTCCGAGGAAGGCGACAATCGCGTTCCCGGGCGTTAAATAGGAAGCGGAAGAGGGAGAGGTGGAAGGTGCAAAATACTCCCGGTGGTTTACAGGACAGGGCGAGGACGACGCGTAGATTCCGTTCCGGGAACCGCGCCGTTACGGTGG